GAAGCAGCGACATGCGGGAGATTTAAAGGTGAAACGACGGCTCAATCGACTCAAACTAGCGGCGCGTTGTGCAAACATCCCTTGATCTCTGAAGGAACCATCTGCCCCCGTTTTACTCCAATCCATCAGGACTTATTGTCACCTTTTGTATTTTGTGTGCCCCCCTGCAGAGGTCTAGGGACAGACAAGGTGAGCGGCTGACCTGCAGAAAGGTCACTTTGTTTCTGGTGACAACCAGAAAGCAGCTTGTGACCGAGGCTTAAAATAGTAAATAGGAGAGGACCTGTGGCAGTGAGCCGAGATGGCATCGCCGGACCTGCGCGCTCTTCTCAAATCTCTTTTCTGCGTTGAGTATTTGTCATGATTGATTCCTCTCCATCGCTGTGGAAACTGAGGACCAGAGTGTGTGGAATCTGACCAGAGATCAGACTCCCAGAAGGTCCTTTGGCGGCTACATTTCAGGTGCAACTTGGCTCCTTCTTAACTCACATTGGAAACCAAAGCTAACTGCAGCAAGGCTCTGGGAACAAGCTGCAGACGCTCACATTGGTGGTAATCTGAATGTTTTCACATCGGAGGCTTTTCTTGGCTACGAATGACTTGTGTACAGAATGTGAACGTTTTATTTGAACTCCTTTGTTTCCTCTCGACGCTCAGTCAGATGATTGCGATCACTTCATCCTCTACGAGGCACCAAAACATCGAATGGATGCCAAATGAACACACTGCAAATTGAGTTTTCCTTCACGCCTTCACTTAGAAGCATTTCAAGCTGGACGAATGAGTCGCTGGATCGGTTCATGGAGAACCAGCCCCCCCCCCCCATCGGGTCTCATTGACTTTCCCGGGGCCTTCTTGTAATTGATTGGCAATCAGCCACTCGTGACTGACACCTAGAAGACAGGTATTCATCCATTTCACCTGGCGTCGCTCTCATTTCATGGTGGGTGCATGTTAGGCACTGGCTGTTTATAGCTGTTATCGAAACGCAGACCATCTAATTACCCCGCCCCGCCCCCGGGAAACGTCTCGGCGAACTCCGTCCATGCTGATCTCAGGGGCTTCTGTCAGATGTCCTTGGGAGGATAAAGGATCCAAGTTCCATCCGCATTCGTATCTCTTTATCCAGAACGAGATGAAATGATCAATTGCCTGAAATGTACAGTGGGGCGTTATCTCTTCTTTTTCATTTTCATTCAGCTTTTCGATGGGGAAGATTGCGGTGGTCTTGCTCTGGAAAACAATGCAATCTGTTTCAAAGTATTCGCGGCCTGATGAAAGCTGCCAAGGTCGAACTTAAGCGAGATCGCTCCATCAAAAAACATTATTTGTGCACCGGTTTGCCTGGAGTGGCCTTCTGAAAAGCTGCTGTGGCTGGAGAGCGAGGACGTGTGGTGCGTTAGCGGTTATGTTGCACACGTGTGTCTGTGCGCACGTTCATTAAGGGGACACGTCTCCTACAACTCTACTCTGAGTGCAACGGAGCGTTTGCTCAGAGCCCCTCAGTTTCTCTGTCGGGTTGACAGTAGCCACAAACAGGAAGTTGACCGCGCAAACGAAGCGGCCGCTAGCTGCAGTCAGTTACGTGGGAGAAAACGAGACGTTAGCTGAAGATGGAGCGAGAGCTGTTTGCATTGGATGTTAAACAAACAGAAGCGCAACATACAGCGGAGAACTGGCCGTCAAACAGAAGGGGGGTGAGTGGCAAATGGACCACCGCTATGCTAAACTAGCTGCTAGGCTAAGCTAGCTAGAAGAGTCGCGAGTTCAACATGTTCCACCCGGTGGAATTCTGCCTCCAAGATGATCAAATGTGTGTAGTTTTGTGTTTAAAATGACATTAACAATTAAACTAGAGTCTTCTAAAGTGATTACTCATTACTTAATATTTAGTCCTTCAAAGAAAAACAAACATTAAAAACAACATTGTAACAACAACAACATTCATTAATCGAGATTTCAAAATGTGCGATTAATTAGTTAATTTCTTTTACTCTACTGACAGCCCTATTAAATACATCTGATATTGTGATAATACTTGTGATCTTTATAAACACCTATCAAAATTAAAGCAGCTGATGCTGCTCGTCCAATGAGGGGAGTAGCTTTTGACGGCTGTTGTGGTGGGGGGTGGGGTGTCGGGGCGATCACGGCTGAGCCCTGGGGCCGTGACAGACTTCCTTCCCCCCGTGGAGAGCAGTGTCCGGCTAACGGCGTCTGTCAGGCTCTGCGGCCTCCGAGCTAACAGAAACCTTTGGCTGCAGATGCCACACAGTGTGGCGCCGGTGCTCCCATCACCGCGTGGGGGGGGGGGGCCATGAAGAACAGACTATGCGGTAAACAACATAACAAGTCTGAAAGTCTTATTATGTGGTTTTGCTTGTTGTGTCATAATTAGTAACGGTAGCTCAGATGTGTTTTTGCGATGTGAAACAACTGGACTGCACCAGAGATTGAGACCATGAACTCATGTTTACAATGTTTACCGAGGGAATAAATCAAGAGAGAAGTAGGGTCATTTTCTCATGGACTTCTATGGGACCAGAGGAGTCTCCCCCTGCTGGTCACTGCAGAGTAACGTCCTCCCCGACCAGGTAGACCACATGAGCAGCACCTGGGATGCATCCCAGCATGCATCTGCCCCTTGGGGCCTCCTGCTGTGAGGTTTCATTACCATATCAAAGGCCACTCTGGCGCCGTGTCTCGGGCCGGAGAGAAAAAAGGAGAGGCAGCACTTCAACAGGCGCTCGTGGAGCCCTTTGAATATGTATGGCAGCAGATGCAGGTGATGCAGAGTGTGTGCACTCAGGTGCACTCTCAGGCTCATACATGCAGGTGAACAATGTGTGCAAGCTCACGCGCATGCCATTGTTTTCATCTTCTGTGATTTATTTCTGCCTCTTTGTGATGAAAATTACAGATGGAGCCGGGCACCGCGGTGAACAGACAACCTTGATCTAGAGTGTGTGTGTGTGTGTGTGTGTGTGTGTGTGTGTGTCTGCCTCATGAATATTCTCTTTCAAATCCAGCTCTGTTGTCGGGCACCTGGGCAGGCGGCACAAAACAATAGTTTGTCATTAGGAGCGATGGTATCGCTGCTCACTGCTGCCTGAGACTCCACACAAAATATCAAAAACCGCCGAAACAAAAAACACCATCAAATCCATCCAGACACGCTTAAACAACACGCCTGTTTCATTGAGCTCAACGCGTGGCGACCTTCACACCGCGCCATCAGCGTGTTTAAGGCTTTATGGTTCCCCCCCGCGAAGCACTTGTGGTTACTTCCTGTCCGCAGGAGACTGCTGCACAGCGAGGAGAGGGGTGTGCGGGGGGGGCTTCAGATGCGGTTGAGCTAATGGCTATCGGCCATCTTGCCAATGTCTTCCTGCGTGAGTGGCCAACCTGAGAGCCGTCTACTATTGTTTTTATTGTTTTTTCCTTTTGTTTCACTGGCTCCTCCCCTTTATCTGTGGAGTCGCTGTTGCAGACGGACGGATTGGATCGCGTTGATTAGCGGTGAACAATAAGCGCCCTGGCCGGGGGTTTGGAGGGGGATTAGTGCCACTCCAGGACAGTTTTAATCTGGTTGCTGCCACGGCAACCTTATCTCCCCACACACACACACACACACACACACACTTAATTGGACGCTAGTCTCAAAGTGTTGAAACATGAAACTTAAATGAGGATGTTGAAGGGAAACAGAGCCGTCTCTCCTGCAGCAACAGGCCGAGTGACGTCATCAGAACACATGCTGAGTGGTTTGCTTGCTGCAGTTATGTCTCATAGCTTTGCGCGAGTTAATAGATTGATTTACCGATGAGAGTAGCAGCAACTTCCAGCTTAAACTGTCTCCAGATGTCCTGCCGACAAACCAACACGTCCTCGTTCTCACTTAAATTTTGCATTTCCCCAAGATCATTAAAGGGGTTTTGTCGTTATTTTGTAAATTGGCCTTAAAAGACAAAAAGGCAATGAACCAGGATCTCTGAAGCCTCGGCCAGGAGAGAAGGCGAGTCAGCTTCCTCAGTAGCTGAGGAATCAGGAGGTGAGGTGATGAATGGTGGATCACCCGCGGAGAGAAGTGGACCAGATGAGTCACTCTGACCTCAGGGGGGCGGCTTTGGTTCCTTTCACCAGACATCTTTCAATATGTGTGTGTGTATATATATATATAAATGTTCACGACATCTTCACACAGATACGTACGCATCGATGAGGAAAAAAGAAACCACTCTCACAAATGGCCTCCTTGGGTTTGTGTGTTTTAAGCTGCCAGCTGTGATGCAGTATGTTAATATTATGACATAATAATATGATAAACATGTTGGGGGGGGGGTGATGGATGTGTGGTTCACAGGTTCAGACTCATAACTGGCTCCCGTTTGCAGCCAGGTATTGATCACCATCAATACAGCCCCCTCCTCGTCTCTCTCTCAGACCTCGCCGCTGTCACTGTGATGAGCGCGGCGAGCGGCGTGCCGTCGCGGCCGCAGTCTAACTCTGGAATCAGTGGGCGAGTGCAGCCGCTCAGCAGTCTATTTGTCTCGGCGACGGCGGAGAACGGCAACGCTGAGATGTGAGAAGCGAGAGGTGGAGGGGGGTGGCGGGGGGGGGGCGGCAATCATCTGAAATGCCGCTCGCCGAGACGCAGAAGTACAATTACAACGTATCTTTCCCCATTCCGTCGTGACTCATGGTCAATAGAATGCAATCAACACATTTGAATAGCTCGTTAGTGACGTCTGGGTCTGCCCCCCCCCCGTCACCCCCCATTGTACTCAGAGAGACTTTCTGCACAAACAAATGACACATCCAAAGAGGAGCTTTTCCTCTCTTGTGTCGTCTCTCCATCCGATTCGGAGACACTGACACCTCGTAAATAAATGCGTTAGATGACAAATACTCTGATATGTGCACTGATGTTATGCTGCTTATTCAACATGAAACATCAAATCTGCACGATAAACAACAAAAACACCATTTTCTGTACTCACGTCGGTGACCCCGGCCTCCAGGATGTTGAGCTTCGCTTCCTCCTCCACAGCTTCTTTCTGCCGAACTATTGTCCGAAGAAACAGAGGGAGAAGAAAATAATGCCAAAATATTAAAAGGGTTTTACGGAGAATTAAAAAATGGAATATTCGTGCCGCCAGTGGGTGATTCTGAAAGGAAACCAGCCGTCGTGCACACGCTTCCCGTGATGCACATGTTCTGAATGCTCCTTGTGTATTTTGTTATTAACCTGTTTAATTCACCTCACTCTACTAAAGTAATTCAAGGGCCATTTTCTTGACCAGACTTGAGCCGCCGGCTGGGGCCAGTGGTGATGTCACCGGGGTTATCTTGTCAGCACTTCCCAGACGCCAACGTCTGCTGAATTATGGCAAGGACCCCCCCCCCCCCCCCCCCCCCCCTCCCGGGGGGTCTGGGGTTGTGTTACCCCATCCCACCTGAAAGACGGAGGACCGAGTAGTGTTATCTTTGGATTGTCTTTTGGCCAAACGCTCATTACAATTTAACCCGCCAAATACCAAACTGTCAAATAAACAAGCAAACACCGAGCCTGCTGCCAAACGTGTCGTGGCACTTTCATCCTCTGCGTTTTACTTTCGGCGGCGACCGTCCACATTTTTTGCCTGAAGAATATATTGTTTGGGTGTGAGCCTGTTATTTTGCGTGTGTGTGTGTGTGTGGTTAGTGTGATAACATTTTGGACCCTTCATGAATCGACCCAGAGATTAGCCCTGGGACCTGACTAACGCTCCATGGACCAAACCCACAGTCATACTTGAGCGCTGGAAGCCTTTCATCAGGGTGTTCTCTCCCTCTGGAGATGAGCAAAGTAAAAGCTTACATAAACAAAGAATTAGGCAAGGGGGCGCAACTTAGAAACCACCCCTTCGCACGCATTAAAATAATAGGTGACCAAATAATCCATCACGAGCAAAGCATTTGAGTTTTTTTCTATGCTGAGTATACCCACAGATAAACTGAGATGTGTGAAGGGAGCCCGATCGTGTTTTGAG